AACCAATTGAGCCACACTGGCCAGGGATCAACACATTCCTTGAAAATTCTAGGAATATGTGGGAATGTGCTAAGTGTCCTGGTTCAGGGTCTGACTGGTCCCCAGCTCCTTCTAGTTTCCAGCTAAGCCCCCAGGAAGCTACAGCAGGTGTCCAGTGCCAGCTATTTCTGCTGTGCATATTTTGCATCTGGGGAAACTGAGGCACAGAGTAGGAAGTGGAGAGCTGGAATTCAAACCTAAGCTCGTTTTTCTCCAGAGCCAGATACTCTCTGTACCCTCCCCAACACCTTCTCTCCTCCCCTTCTAAGCCAAGCCTCTCAGGCTGTAGCCAGAAGTACCTGGGATGAATGTCGTCCTTTCACAAACATTTATTGGGCACCTACTGTGTACCAGGTACTGGGCTACACACTGGGATCCCAGCAGGGTACACACTATCACGGAATTCCCACCCCATCCAGAACTTTAACTCCATGAGAATGGGAGTGGGTGGCAGCAAATACCACATATTTTATTAATTTGTTTCATGATGTCAGGTCATTGGGAAAAACAAGGAAGGAAAAGAGATCACGAGTGGAGGAGTGAAGGCTGCAATTTTAAAGAGGAAGGCCTCTCTGACAAGGTGATATGTGAGCAAAAGAGGTTAGGGGAAGCCATGGGGACAGAGCATTCTAGCCAGAGAGAACAGCGTATGCAAAGACCCTGAGGCAGGGCCATGTGTGGAGGTTCCAGGCACAGAAATGAGGCCTATGGGGGTGGAACAAACAGGAGAGTGGGAAGAGGTGGGGCAGGGTGGTAACAGCCAACATCTAACCAATATGTCAGATGGAGAAATAAGACCCAGAGGCAGATATTCCCAGAGTCTGTCCTGCCTGCTCTCTCCTGTCACTCAAGGTCCTTGTCTCCTACCATCTCCCAATAGTTTGGTCTGACTCTCTTGCTCCCACTGTGGACCCATGGCACCTACCAGGATCACTGTGATAGCTGAGCCAGGACCTAAGAGGGTTGCCCATAGGTGTACCCAGGCGCATTTTGGAGGGTGCTGGGTGGGAGGGTAGTCCCAATCATGTGTGTCCCTAGTTCAGCAGCACCTCTGATTAAGGTTCCAGTGTCCAAGTGTCTGAAGTCTCTGAAGCCAGAGGGGTTTGGGGTGCACCTGGGCCAGTTGTGGGGGTGTGGAGGGTAACTAGGCCCTTGCCCTCACAGGGTATGTGGAGGGGACCCAATACCTTTCTCCTCAACCTGGAAAGGGAGCGACAGTCGGCTGGTGGCAGGACCACCTTCAAAACATGCCTGCCTAGGTTTTGGCTGCCTATCCTGAAGGCCCAGCCAGGCCCCTGCCTGCCATCCCTGTGTCCCTTAGGGCTCCTATCACTTTGCTGACAGCATCCAGCCATAACATCCAGCTCTATGCTCTGGCTGACCTGCCCGGAGTGCCACCATGCTCCCCACCCCCACATCCCCATCACTGTCCTCTCCCTGGCTACTCTCCTCCACTCCCTCCAGCCCCTCCAGGGGGTCTCCCAGGTCAGCTGAGCACCGCCCCACCCAAGTACAGGGGGAAAGGGGTGATCTTCTCTCCTCCTGCCAGCCAGGTTTGACCAGGGTTCCAGAATTTCAGGGTAGAATGACCAATGCACACAGGGCACAAAGTACCAAAGCAATCTCCCCTCCCCCACAAACCACAAAGCAGTGGGGGGGGGGGGACAAGGACCCTCCCAGCTGGCTGCTGTTGAACTAAGGGGCCCTGAGAGCCTCAGTCTCTTCATCTGCCCTTCCTGCCACTCCCCCACTTGTTCACTCTGTGCTAGCTACACCAGCCCCCTTACTCTACCTCGAACATGCCAGGCCTGGCCCTGCCTCAGGACCGGCTCCTCTGCCTGAATGTTCTTCCTCCAGATGCCCGCCCACCCCCTAGTCTGGCTGGGTCCTTTTCCTCCTTTGGGTCTCACCACCTCATCACCTTCCTGCTCCCCCTTCCCAACACATCAGCTCCAGGGGAAGGGGTGGATTTCATCTTGTTCATTGCTAGTCCCCACTGTCTCCCAGGGCAGGCACTTCCTAAGAATATGCTAAATGAATGAATGACAGACAGGGATGGAAGGGAGACAGAGCCAGACAGAGCCAGACAAAGCCAGACAGAGGGGGTCCTGAGGGCATGGCTGGCAGGGTCCTGACCCCTCCCCCATACACAGTTGTGGGACCTTTGGGCAAAATATGGTTTTGAAAGCCCAGGAGGGAGTGGAGAGAAAGTCAGACTCCTGCTGGTTCAGTGTGGGGAACTGGTGTGAGGGTACTCAATTAAGAAAGGTACAAAGTCAAGATTGAGGGAGGAGAAAGGCCTCCTATTTGCCACCGGTTGAGGTCAGAGCCAGGTTGGGTTTGAGGTGCAGATTCAAGGGTGGCCATGAAAAGCCCATTCTGAAAGACTTGAGGTGCAAACAGGGGCCAGAAAGGGCAGCCAAAGGGAGGGATCAGAAGCAGGGGACTGAAAAACATGGCTTTGAAGCCCTTGCTCCCATGGTGTCTGTCATGACACTCACTCTTGGTTTCCTTCCACCCTCTCTTCAAACTCCATCCTCACAACCAAGGTGAGTATGTCTCCCAAGCTCCAGGCTTGCTTCTCCGAAGCCTGCCCAGCACCGAGCCTCACCTCACCACCACCGGGGTTCCAGTGATGCCACTATTTCCAGATGCTGCAAACAGGTTGCTGATTTGTAAGTGATAAGTGAGCACGCTCCCCAATCAGCAGCTCCTGCCTCCCACCCACTGGAAGTCTACCCAGGACCCACCCACTTCTCACATAGCCACGCCTCCCCCTGGTCCAGTCCCATCCTGATCTGGACCATGGTAGTGTGCCTGCCTCTGTGCCGGTCCCTGCAGTTTCTTCTGTCCACGTCCTAGCTCACTGGTCTCTCTGCCCATTACCTCTTCTTCTTCATCTCTTGACCTCACCTCATCTACCTATTATCTCTTAATCATCCTTACTAATGAGTCCAACAGCCACCTACTCCACGAAGCCTCTTCTGACCCCTCCCCAGGCTGAATCAGGTCACTCCTGTAGCTCCCTCCCCCAGGCAGCCTCCATTTTACCAGATGCTTATTACCAGCTGGGCACTGTGCTCACCTTTGATGATGCTTACAGCTGATGACTGCTATTATTCCCATTTTGCAGAGAAGAAACTGAAGCACAGGAGGAGGAGAAGTCACTAGCCTCAGGTCAGTGAACAACTCAAACTGGCAGGACCTGGTCAGCTGCAACATCCAGACAGCCACAGCCACAACCACAGCCTGCAGTGCCCAGATAAGAAAGGACCGTACCTCCCCACTCCCATGTCTTCTTTCCTGTGGGTGTTCTAGAGGTAGTAGGAGGTAGGAGGAGTGAACCCAGGCCTGCCCCCTCCCCCAACTACAGTCATCCCAGCAGCTCCTGTGCCAATATTCACTCCATGCCAGGCGCTGGGTTAACCAGAAACACTCTGCGCGCCTGACTCACTCAATCTGCAGATGGCCTTGGGTCTGGAGGAGAGTGCAGTTACGCACCCTCACACCCATTTCTCACAACAAGAAATGGAGGCTCATGGGGTTGTGAAATCCCACTGGCACTGGAGGCCTCCTCTCCCTCCAGCCATGAGGCTGCTACTGGGATGGCCCTTTCCGAGTCAAGGCTTCTTCAGCAACACTCCCAGTGATAGGAATTGCTCACCTATTTTACAGATGAGGAAACTTAGGCTCGGAAAACTTTCCCTGGGGTCAGTAGGCCAGTTCCAGAACTAAGGCTCCCGGATTATTTCCACTGTCTCTTCCCTCCAGACATCTCTGCTGGGAGCAGGTGAGCTGGGAGGGCAGGCAAGGGAGGTCCAATAGCTTCCTTTTTGCAGCCTGGCTAGGCCTGCGGGGGCTAGGTGTGTGAGGGTCCAGGCACTTCCCGGTTTATCCACAGCAGCTGCTCTTGAATTGAGGCTGAGGACACCACAGTCCCCTGCTCCAGAATTTTTAACTCTGCAGCGGCCCCATGCAACAGATCCAAGAAGCCTCGGTGGGGCCAGTGGGAGTTCCAGCCTGGGCTTGCCCATCAGGTGGCATTTCACAGGTTTTGCAAGTCAGACTCAGCCACAGCAGGTCCACACCCCAGACATGTTTCTCCCTCAGTTTCCCCATACGGGCCACAAAAGGCCCCTCTACACTCTCAGCTGCCCATGCCAGCAATCTCCTCGGGACACTTTCCTTCATGCCCCACTGCTGCAGGCAGGAGACACAGATGATGTTCTACTAAAGTGAACACTCAGTCCACCTCGTGTCCACCATCCCCGGGAGTAGAGTCCAAAGCAGCAGCCTTCTCCCATCTGTTCTTCCCATAGCAGCTGCTGGATACTCTTAAGATCCAATGGGACTCCCTGTCACACTTTGTTCTAAGCTTCCTGTGGTCCCCACAGGCTTGAGAATGGAAACCACACACTCCTCGCCATCCACCTTCGAGGCCCGGGTCAACCTCTCCCCACCTCCAATCCCCGAGCTTCAGCCCCGCTGGCCTCTTTTCTGCTCAGCAAACACGCCAGGCTGTGGGCCCTGCCTCGGAATCTTGCTGTTTTCTGGGCCTAAAAAGCCCTCGCTGTCTGGCCACTCAGACCAGGATGATATCTTCAACAAGAAGCCTTCCCTGACCTAACTTACCCCACTGCCCTGATGCGTCGTCTTCCCTGCACTTAGTAGGGGCTGGAATGATCTGTTTCTGCTTACGCGGTTCCTAGCCTTCTACGCTGCGCTCTCCGCGCGCACACGGCCGGATTTCCCCGGGTCACGGTGCCAGGCATGCCCCCAGTGCCTCCTGCCCGTTATGCAGCCGCGTCCCCGAGCGCGCCCGGCGCCGGGGCTCTCCGGGGAGCGGGGATCTCTCGAGGAGGCAGACCGGGCCTGGACTAGACGTAAAGCCCTGAGATGCCGTCCTGGGTGCGGAAATGGGAGACCAAGCAGCTGCGTCTGGAGGCCCGACAGGGGCCGCCATGGCTGCGGAGGAGGGGCCCGAGCTGGCCGCAAGGGTGGCATTTCGGCGGTGTTCTGGGCGCGGGGAACTCGCTTACCTGAGGGGAGCGAGCGACCAAGTGCACAGGGGTCGGCGGAGGGGTGAGATATCAGCGCCAATAAAAGAACCACTCGCTGCGAGCGCTTGGTAATTACAATCAGTACCCGTCTGTGCTCCGGCTGGGGTTGGGGGTGGTGGTGGTGGTGGGAAATGAAGGGCTGCGGCGGGGGCGGGGCCTGGAAGGGCGGGGCTGAGGGCAGGGTCTGGGAACAAGCTGGGTCCCAGAGGCGCTCGGCTCCCTACCCACAACTAGCGGCTTTCAGTCCGGACTCGCGCCAGCCCCGCCCTGCCTAGAGCCCCGCCCCGGCCCTCGGCCCCGCCCCAAGGCGCGCGCTCGGCCGCAATCCAGCCCCAGATATCTGGTCTGAACCTCTGTCTGTGAACATAGCCACTGTATGTTGTGTGCTCAGTCTGTTCCCCACTTCACCTGCGCTTGCAACATGTTCCCCACCCCTCTCCCCCTCCGAATTCCTTCTTCTGGCCCAGCTCCGACTCGCGAATCTGCCAACACTGCTGTGAAGCCCTGTTTCTCCGTAGGCAGGGCGTTGCAGAGAAGGCTTGGACACCGCTTCTGACCTCCGAGGCCGCCTCGGGTACTCCGAGTCTAGGGACCTGTCCCAGTTCGCAGGCCATACCGGTCCAGTTCTTGGTTCATAGGGGGAGCGCAGAGGCTGATCCCAACTTTGGAGGCCCTGGGGGCCATTCTGGAGGCTGGGAGGTATGGAATGCAGCAGGGCGGCCTGAGGTTTGGAGTCATAGTAGGGGATTTTTACCATCCCATTGACAGAAAGTCAACGAGGAAACAGCAGCCTTCAGTGACACACTAGATCAGATGGATTTAGTTGCTCTCTTCAGCGTATTTCGTCCCAATACAGCAGAATATACATTCTTTTCAAGTGCACATGAAACATTTTCTAGGATGGACCACATGCTAGCACACAAAACAAGTCTCAATAAATGTAAGATTATGCCCTGGCTGGTATGGCTCAGTGGATTGAGCTCGGGCCTGTGAACCAGATGATTTCTGTTCAATTCCCCATCAGGGCATGTGCCTGGGTTGCAGGCCAGTTCCTGGCGGGGGATGCACGAGAGGCAACCATGCATTGATGTTTCTCTCCCTCCCTCTCTAAAGATAAATAAATAAAATTTAAAAAATAAAAATAAAATAATAAATTTAAGATTTAAAAAAAGGTCTGCAGGTGTCGGGCAGCTTGGAATGCGGTGCAGCCCCAGGTTCTGCTGCCCACATAAGGAGAGACAAAGAGGAGAAGGTGCTGGGCTCTCTCGTAGTGGCTGGAACAGAAAGTGACCCAGATCAGTAGTGTGCAGGGGCACGATGGTACTCGAACGGTGAATGGAGGACAATCCCGGATCGGGCAGAGGTTTTCTGTGCACATGAGGCACACCAGGAACTCAAGGTTCAGCTGTCACAAGTTGAAGGTGGGGGGTTTCCAGAGCCACTGGCCAACCTTTGTGATCCGGCATCATCTTTGGACAATGAGCCTCTCCCTGAAGCTGATCCCAGGGAGGTGGGGGAAGTCCTGGCTTTCTGAACTTTGGGGCTCCTAGGCAAGTTGCTTCATATCACTGACATTTGATTTCCACACACAGGAGCATAGAGAGGACAGAGTCCGTGGTTGCAAGTGTGGAAGAACCTGTCCCTCCAACCCGGCTTCTGGCCTTGCATTTGCTGCTTACCCCCTGCTACACCCCATTATTCTTTCTCTTCAAATGCTGTGTCCTTCTCCCTCAGACCTCAGTCCCTTCCAAAGATCCCCCCATCTCCACCTCTGCCCACCCTCCATTTGCACTCATCCTCTGTCCCTCTTCCAAGAGTTCCTTTGCATACCAGAAAAGGAAAACGAAGTAACAGCTTTCAGTTGTCGCTAGGAACTGTCTTGTAGCACATGCCTTGTACCTGGGGCTGCTCAGAACAGGGCAGCCATTTGTATAAATAGTAACCAGGAGAATCCCCATGGAATAGAGACAAGTAGCAGATCCTTGACAAAATGGAGGAAGGGGCCCTCCAAAAAGGATGGGGTGGCCCATGGCCAGGGAGAGATTTCAGGTGGGAGTTACTACATGAGCAAAATGGGGAAGCTACAGGAGGGGGTCAGCCTGAGGGGAGGGATACAGGCTGGACTGTCTATAGTTGGGCTGCTGCTTGGCTTCTGTGTGTCCTCCTCCTAGTCCTCCCCAGTCCCATCCATAAGCATACTTCCTGGAGGAGGGGGTGACTTGAGAGAGATGAATGGGTAGAGATTAAGCACAATCAGGGTCTGGAGGTGATGAGGGAAGGACAATAGGGTGAGGTCAATGACTAAAGGCCCTCAAAGGCTCTTTCTAGAAAGGCACAACCAGATGTAAAATGAGACATAGTCAGATTACAAATGAGTGGGCAGGGGGAGCAGCTGGGGCCTGATGGAAGTGAGGATTGCAGATAGAAGTGAAAGAAGGGACTCCAGGGGGGGATTTAGAAGTGAAATGGCCAGGGTCAGGGGAATCAGGGGAGGCCATGGCCTGGCGAGAGGGGATGGGGAATGAGAGCTGTTTCTAAGCTAGCCAGTTCAGTACTGGGCAACTTGGGGTGGGCCCTAGGAAAGCCCAGAGCTCAGACCCAAGGGAGATAGGAGCTCCTTGCCTCCTTCCTCCCCTCCAGGAGTTCAGGGATAAGGAGGTAGGATGGAGGAGGCTGATGGGCCTGGATCCAGGTGCCTCTTCGAGGATCCCCTTGTCCCTACTGCTCTGCTCTAGCCAGTCTGCTGGTCCTTGCCCCACTGGCCTTTTCAGACCCTTGGACCATTACAGCCAGGCCTAGAAACTGGACTCTGGACCCTGAGCCCTGTGATAGGTGGAATAATAGCTATGCAGTGGTGCCCACGTGTCCTAACCCCTGGGACCTGTGGCTATGTGGCCTTACATGGCAAAAGGGACTTTGCAGGTCTGATTAAGTTAAGGGTCTAGAGAGTGGAAGATGCTCCTGGATTATCCAGGTGGGCCCAGTGTCCTCACAGGGAGGCGAGAAGGTCAGAGACTGAAGATGCTACACTGCTGACTCTGAAGGTGGAGGATGGGACTGCGAGCCAAGGCCTGCAGGAGGCCTCTAGAAGCAGGAAGAGGCACAGAAACATTCTCCCCAGTGCTTCCAGAAGGACCACAGCCCTTCAGACACCTTGATTCTAGCTCAGTGAGACCCATGTTGGACCTCTGATCTCCAAAACCATCAGATAATAGTTGTGTGTTAGTTAAGCCACCACCTGTGTGATGATTTGTTACTAAAGCTACAGGAGACTCACACAGACTCTAAGCCCCCCATTAGGAGTCCTTCTTGCAGTGTCAGATCCCAGCCCTACTCCCATGTTGATTCAATTTCCAAATTACCACCACTCCGGACCTGACCCCTTACGGTAGTCTCCAGGGTGGCTGCTCCCTATTCCCAAGGGTTGGGAACTGAAGTCCTGGGTGTCTGCCTGTCTGTTACTGCCTATTTGGGCCCTGCAGTATTCTTTTAAGTGACTCTCACTCTAGTGCCTCATGCCAGAAAGCTGCCTGCTGGCTCATCTTTGCCAATCAAGATTCCTGCTCTCAGAATCTAAAGAACAAAATAAACGAAAAAAATCAGAAACAAATTCTAGGTACAGAGAACATTTTGATGGTTACCAGATGGGTGGGGGGGGGGCTGGAGGGCTGGGTGAAAAAGTTGTAGGAATTAAGAAGTACAAATTGGGAGAGTTTGTTAGAGATACCCACAGGGTCCTAAAACATTCACAAACCCACCCACCTGGGAATCAGCACCAGAAGGACCCAATTTGCTTCTGGGCAGTGGGAGAAGTGACTGAAAGCCTGCCGAGAGCCCAGCAAGCAGCACTGTTCCCTCTCTGACCCCTCCCCCCCCTTTAGCACCACATCAGATCAAAGTGGGTTGCTCTGCCTTGGTAAATCCATAAAGCTCTGCCCCTTACAATGTAACAAGAGCTCCAAGATAAAGAAACATGGCCCAAATGAAAGAACAGATCAAAACTCCAAAAATAGAACAAAGTGATGAAGAGATAGCCAACCTATCAGATGCAGAGTTCAAAACAATGGTAGTCAGGATGCTCACAGACATGGCTGAGTATGGTTGAAAAATAGAGGAAGAAGTGAAGCTTATGCAAAGTGAAATAAAGAAAAATGTACAAGAAATTAATGGTGAAGGGAAGGAAATTGAGACTAAAATGAACGGTTTGGAGCAGAAGAAAGAAATGAACATTCAACCGAATGAAATAAAGAAAGAAGAATTCGAAAAAAATGAGGAGAGGCTTAGCAACCTTTGAGACAACTTCAAATGTTCCAACATCCAAATCATAAGGATGCCAGAAAGAGACAAAAGAGCAAGTTGATAACTCATTTGAAAAATAATAAAGAAAAACTTTCTCTACCTGGCAAAGGAAGTAGACGTGCAAAGTCCAGGAAGCTCAGAGAATCTCAAAGAAGATGGACCCAAGGAGAAAAACACCATAATTAAATTACCCAAGATTAAGGATAAGGAGAGAATCTTAAAAGCAAGAAGAGAAAAGCAGAGAGTTACTTACAAAGGAGTACCCATAAAACTGTCAGCTGATTTCTCAAAAGAAATCTTGCAGGCAAGAAGGGGCTGGAAAGAAATATTCCCAAGTCATGAAAGGCAAGGACCTACATTCAAGATTACACTATCCAGCAAAGCTATCATTTAGAATGGAAGGGCAGACAAAGTGCTTCCCAGATAAGGTCAAGTTCAAGGAGTTCATCATCACCAAGCCCTTATTATGTGAAATGTTAAATGGATTTATCTAAGAAGAAGAAGAAGATGATCAAAAATATGAACAGTAAAATGACAATAAACTCACATCAACAACTTAACCTAAACAAAAACAAACTAAGCAGCCCTGGCTGATGTGGCTCAGTGGATTGAGTGCAGGACTGCAAAGCAAAGGGTCACTGGTTCGATTCCTGGTCAGGGCAAATGCCTGGGTTGTGGGCCAGGTCCCCAGTAGGGGGTGCACAAGGGGCAACCACACAGTAATGTTTCTCTCTCGCTCTCTCTCTCTCTCTCCCTCCCCCTCTCTCTAAAAATAAATAAAATCTTTAAAAAAAACTAAGCAAACAACTAGAACAGGAACAGATTCACAGAAATGGAGAT